TCTTGCTGAAAATATCTGGGTGAAGAGGGGTGCCCCTGAGATTCCCCACTCTGGTGCATGGGTCAAGGGTGCATCTGTCTTCCACTGGAAGCTGGACAGGGACAGACATTCCCTAAACCCCCAACCTGAGAGTCTGAAGATGCCATGGTCATGGCAACCTGAGAGTAAAGTAACTTTGCTCTTTTCTGGGCAGTAATTCCCTCCCAGATGAAACAATCCATCCTGCAGGGAGGCTCCCCGAACTGGAAGATAAACCCACCAGTTTCACCAGGCCCCTCCTCACCACAGTGAGCAATAAAAGCTGCGAGTCCTCTCCTCGGGAAGCCGAGCTGCCCGGAGGAGGCTCAGAGCAGCCTAGGCAACTGGAAAGGATGCTCTTCAGCCTGTTGTGGCCTGCAGGCTGTGCAGTGTGCTCCAGATGTCCAGCTCTGTGAGCTGTCACCACGCTGGGGTGGCCTTGGGGGTGCAGCTGTCTCTCCTCACCCACAGGCCTGTCAGTGACCCCAGTAAAGCTCACGGTCCACCATGTAGGACTTGGGTGGTGTCTGTACTTGGTCTGCTGTGGGCTCCCTACCTGGTGCGTGGCCCTGAGTGCTGCACCTCCTCAGAAAAAGTCTTTCTGGTCACACAACATTGGCACCTGACGAGGTTCTGCCACACCAGAACCAAAGATGAGTTGAGGAGGAGTGAGTGGTGTCCAGGGTGTAGGTGGCAAGGCATTCTGCTGAGGTCTGTCAGCCTGAGAGGTGGACATGGCGGAGGAGACTCCGGGAGAGCCGTCCTTCCCTGGGTTCTGTATGTTGGTGTGCTGTGGTGGCGGCTGCATGGTTTTTCCTGTGGGTAGTGAGTGAGATGTGGACCTGAGGCTGAGCCACCATGATCAGGAGTGTCCGCAGGAGGAATCCCAGCATGACAGACAAGTCTTCCTCTGGGTGGCACGAGGTGGCGGCCTACTTGATGAGTGGGGTCCTCCACAGGAATACGGAGATGCCCTGAAGACACTTCAAGGTTTAGAGGCCATTTTGTAGTCCTAAGATTAGCACAGGAGGGTCAGGCTCGGCAGCGGCAGCAGGGGAACCGGGTTGCTATTGTGAGTGCCAGAAATGCACCTGGGGCCGAAATGGCACCAAGTAGGAAGTCGTTTGTGTAAAGGACCAGTTGCAACAAGGGAGATGCAGCAGCATTCTCTGTTAGCCCCGGACCTGGCAAGTGCATTAGATGAAGGAGAGGATGAGATGAAGGTGACGATGGCTCATGGCTTCTTACGGCTTAGCAGACAGAAGGGAAAGAGCACAAGTCAGACCCATGCTCAAAAGCCCTTCCTGGGATCCTTGGAAGCTGTGTGGAGATGCAGAATGAGGAGAACATGGAAAAAGCACCAGAAGATACCCTTTAACAGAAAAACAGGGGAAGCCTGTGATCCAGTGTGCAGATGGGGCGTCAACCACAGTCCAGAAGCTACAGTGGCCAGGGAAAGCACAGCATCTGCACTGGAAGACTCTGTGGCAGCCTGACCACAGGCTGCAGGAGAGGATGGACTGCTCTGACTGTGGTGTGGACAGGGAAACTGAGTCATATGACTTCCCTTAAGACAAAGGCTGCCTTAACTTGAGCCATTGTGAGGGAATTAGTCCCGGCTGGACTGGCTTTTTAGATCCTTAGAAACACCTGAACTGGAGTCCCCACAAATATCAGGGGAGCAAAGAGCAGGGGCAGACGCTATTGAGGGAACCAGGGACAAGAGGAGCTGTGTTTGAACTGTGTTCACAGTAGGGACCTTGGAGCCCGTTTGCAGCTTTAGTGGCTTTGCTGAGCCAGACGGGGGAGCAATGTCTTTATAGAGCAGGGAAGGCTTTGACAGCTCTCAGTGACTCACTAGCAGGTAAAGAGCATCTGCATATTGAGAGCAGTCTAGCAGAGATGCGAAAATGGCAATGCCGAGAAAGGTCTGTCCTGTGTCTGCTGGAGCTCCTACGGAAGAACTGAGAGACAGAGCCACACTGTGTGCTGAGCCGCCTCTGGAAGGCTTGCGGATGACATTCTGATAGGACCACACAGGTTAAGACGATTAAGCTATGTCCACTGTGCCAGCCTTGGGGGACAGCAGAGCCGTAGTCCCCTTGGCCCTGGGCAGATGTGAGTGGATTCAGTCAGATCCTTCTCAGCTCAACAGACGGAGAAATGCAGGGAGGCTCCAGGACACAAAGGCTCAGAGAACAGCCGAGGTCTGTGCCATATTAGTTTCTGTTCCACTTTAGAATCTCCTCAGATGTGAGCTTCCGGGGTCACCTGACACTGCTGATAACAGATGACGGGAATTCGATGGCACCTCACTGAGTTTCTGCTTGTGACCCCACTGTTTATTATGGGACTTTGTGGTGTCCTGCCCATCCTGGACACGGCTATCATAGGAGCTGTAACAGCAACCCAATGTCTTGTGGATTTGGAAAACCATCGCAGACATCCAGGGGAAATGGTGCCTCCGCCTGTCTCACAGTCCTGCCAGGGCTCGGTTAACTGGAAGGAAAAACGCTCTTCAAGAGAATAGCTAAGAATTTAAATCCAGAAGGCACCCTATGTGGGTCGAATGAGATGCTCCCTGAAGTAAGGTTCCTGAATGGAGACCCCTGTTGTGGAATAATCTTTTTGTACACTATGAAGATTTGCCACTCATATTGGTTTAATAAAAAGCTGAACAGCCTATAGCTAGACAGGCTCTTCTGGGCAGGGGACACTGGGAAGAGGAAGGGCAGAGATTCAGGCAGTCAACAGCCAGAAGGAGAGGAAGCAGCAAGGGCAGTACAGACAGTAAAGGTAATAAAGCCAGGAGACAGCAGATTGGTAAAAATGGGTTCAGTTATAAGAGCTAGTTAGTAAGAAGCCTGAGTTATTGGACAAGCTTTTATAATTAATAAGAAGTCCCTGTGTGGTTATTTGGGAGTTGATGAGTGGAACAAAAGGATCTGCCTGCCGACTCCAGTGCTGGGGACTCCCTCCCTGTGAGCTGTTGGCCTGGGAAGACCCCGAGGTCCCACAAACATCAAGGCTGTGGCTGCTGCCCTTGCTTTTATGCCAAGACTAGATGGTGAGACACACTGTGCCTACCAGACGGGACTGACCAGGAAATCCCCACCTTGCCAGCTGGCTTCCACAGCTGGTGGGGGCCACTTGGGTTCCTGGTGGAGAACTGTCACAATATCTGCTTGGCTATGGACCATCCATGCTGAGACACCACACTCCAGGCAGGGTGTGCCTGATGTGCAACAGTGGCTCAGCTGTCGTGGGCAAGACTAACAGCCTTTAGATTGGGCTTAAGGACTATTCCACAAAACGAGCTCCCATCTGGTCCTGTACGCCAGGACAGCACCTGCAGCTGGGGAGGTCCTAGGACCCAACAGGAGAGCATCTATGGTTTTTCTACATAGATGTGATGTGCCTGTCAAAACATCCTCAGTATTAGTTTCCTTTGATACTGAAGCATCCTATCCTGCAGGAAGCTCCTTAAGCAGGAAAGTAAACAAAAAAAACCTTAGGAAGTCCCTGAAAAGGACCAGATTCACTAGGCCTCTCTCCCTGTCAGAGTAAACAGTGTCTCGACACCCTGACCATAGATGGTCATGGTCAGCCTCAAATCATAACCACTGGTGACGTTCCTCAACATGTGACCGCTACTGTGCCATGGCCTGATTCATGGCCACAGGTGGACATCTACAGTCACCCCTTCCATGGCTCAGCGACCACTGCGGAAGATGGGGTGCAAAGGATGTATGAGTGGAGAAAGGGGCAGCATGTTGTATAACTGTTTCCCCCAATGCTGAATCATTCCATCCTGCAGGGAGGCTCTTTAAATAGGAAGGTAAACAAAGCCGCTTCAGAAAATCCCTGAAACTGACCAGTTTTGCGTGTATGTGTGTCCCACTCCCAGAGAGCTTCAATAAAAGCTGAAGGTCAGTCCCCTCGGGAAGCCGAGCTGCCTGGGGAGACTCAGAGCAGCCAAGGCATCTGCAAAGGATGCTCTCCAGCCTGTTGTGGCCTGCAGACTGCTCCAGGTGCCCAGCTCTGTGAGCTGTCATCCACGCTGGGGTGGCCTTGGTGACAATTGTCACCTCACCCATATGCCTGTCAATAACCCCAGTAAAACTCATGGTTCACCAAGAAGAACATTGATGGTGTCCATACCTGAGGTGTCTGTACCTTGTAAGCTCCTTCCCTGAGGCGGGTGGACTGCGTGTTGAGCCACCCCAAGGAAAGTCTTTGTTATCACCCACCTATCTCCCACCTTGAGACCCACACCCCCATCTCTGAGAACCCAAAACTACCAGCACCTCCAAGCCTGCCAGGGGTCAAAGTGATACCACGGCACAGACACCAGCATCCCAATCCCTGGTGCTCCCGGCTTTCCACATACAGTCAAGGTTCCAAGGGTCCGTGGGGACCCAGCTGTGCCAGGCAGGCGCCAGCTTGGGCTGGATGGGGCTGGCATCAGCCCCACACCTGTCCCCGCCGGGAGGTGGGCAACAAGTTATTTTTAAGCTTGTGGAAGGAGATATGACTCCGGCTCTCTCTAGACAACAGAGCGGTCCCCAGGGATCCAGTCAGTCACTCTGTGACCCAGGTTGGCCTCCAACTCACCATCCTCCTGCCTCAGCATCTCCAGAGCTGGGAGAACTAGCTTCATCTACCACATGGGCTATCTTCCTATTCTCTCCTTATTCCCTACCCACCCTTTTCCTCTCTCTCGACACTGTGTGTGGTGTTTTGTCTGTGCACAAGCAAGCCGCTCCCACGGTGTGGGGAGGGAGCATCTGAGCTGGAGTCACAGGTCGAGCCACCACCTGGATGCTGGGAAACGTACCTGTTGCTCTGACCACTGGGCCACCCTCAAGCCCCTACCAGTGCCTTTGTGTGTGTGTGTGTGTGTGTGTGTGTGTGTGTGTGGTATAGCCAGGCGTGGGTACTGAACTCCGCCCTGGGCCTCTCCTATCTGTTCATCGGCGCAGATGGCTCCTCCCGTGGGCTCCTCCAGCAATGCCATCTCTCACGACTGGGCTTTCTTTCATCGCATCTATTTTCCCCGTCTCTCCCAGGCCTTCAGGAACCGCGACCTCCCACAGCCGACAACCCACTTCGCGCAGAGTGAATGAGCTGAGCAGCGACCAGGGCAGTTCCCACACTTTATGTGAATTCAGTTCTCGCGAGGGTCGGCGTGGCCCCCCGGGCAGGCGCCCAGGGCTGGGGCGTGAGGTAGCGTCACACACACGCGCACTCCCGCGCCGACAGCTCTTGCAGCGTGTGGTAGCGGCTGTGCACGTCCAGGAAGGAGACCTCATCCTCGTAGGCCGTCGGGCGGCAGCACGGGTGCGTGCGCACCCGATCCTTGCGCACGCGCCTCCGCTGGCGCAGGCGCCGCAGGCCCAGGTCGTAGATGCGCAGGGCCGCCTCGCATGCGCCTGCGCAGTAGCGGAACAGCACCGTCTCGTCCGACGTGTAGCCCAGGCCCAACTCGCTCACGCGCACCTCGAGCTCGCGCAGCCCGCAGGGGCGCGCGCCCGACCGCGCACGCGCACGCCGTCGCCGGGGACCCGCTCGACGGCGCGGGCCCGGAGCGCGCGCGGCCCAGGGGGAAAGTTCTCGAAGCTCCACCGCGTCCGGGGCGCCCTGCAGCAGAGCTCGGTCTGTGGCGGGAAAAGGAAAACAGAGGATTGGACCGTGAAAGCTGGCCCCGCCCCGCGCACGCCTGAGGCTGAGGAGGAGACATGGCTAGGGACGCCCCTGATAGCTGGAGCTCGGGCTGCGGCCAGAAGAAGACAGACGATTGGCCGGTGAGGGCTTCGCCCCTCGCTGCACGAGGCACCCGAGTGGTCCCAGCCTGGCCTTGGCTGCCATTGCTCCCCACTCCATCTGTAGTTGAGGGGTGTGCGGACAGGACAGGGTTCAGGAGGCAGAGGCAAGGGGAATCATGTCAGGGGCATCCTCATCTACTGCGAGGGTCTGAGGCCAGCCTGGGCTACATGAGACCGCACCCCCAAGCTAAGTGGCCCGTCCCTCCCGGTTCCCGCCCCCTGGCCTCTCTGGGGCGGGGCTTACACTGTGCCAGGCGGGCGAGGCGCGCGTCCAGGGTGCGTGGCGGGCGTCGCAGCGGCGCGAGCGCAGGTCCCAGGCGGTGGCCCAGCAGCAGACCCTCCTGGCACATCCAGACCGACAGCAGGGAGCTGCAGACGAGCGACACCAGGGCCGCCGCCTTCCAGCGCCTCATTCTGGGCCTCGGCCTGCGGGGACACGGGGTGGTGGGCACCGGCAGGTGGGGGCGAGGGTGTGCGGCCATCTCCGGGCCAGCAGTGGGTGCAAAGGCCCTGAGGCTGATGGCGCCTGGCGTATCCTAGCAACTAATACCAGGCCAAGCAGGGAGAGGTAGACAGCAGGAGGTGCCCCCAGCAGGTGGCTAGCGAGAGGGGCTGTCCTGCATCTATCTCATCTGCCCTTGGTCACTTACTGCGTGCCTCAGTTTACCCTACCAAGCCGCATCTTCCGGGAAGGCTGCCCATCCCAGCCCCTCGGGGATATCCCCTCCATCAGGGCACCCATACTTCCTGCTTACCGCACACAGTTTACCCAGAATCCCCTGCTTCGGCCTGAAGTCCCTTGCATTCGGTTTGCATGTCCCCACCACAGCACAGGCCACTACACGGAGCCCCAAGTGTGTAGCAGGCGTGACCCTGCACACACCGGAGGCGTCTGTGTCTAGCTGGGGATACTGAGGCACAGAACAGGCGGAGGCCCGCTGACCCCAAACTCTGTCCCTTCTGTCCGCCTTGGACCCCGCCCCCCGTTATTGAGCACCGACTGTACACTCTCCATCCTCTCAGTAAACGACGCGTGAGTTTGTCCACGGCTGACATTTATTGAGCGGGAGGAGTGTGTGCGGGATGGACAGCCGCACGGGTGCCCATACATTCGCACATCCCTGCACCGCAGTGCAAAGGCCCGGGAGCAGGAGGAGGGAGGGTGGGCACGTTACTATAGTAAGTCCGGGCTACGCCACTGCTAGGACCCTGCTTTTACCCAGTAGCCGAGGCTAGCCCGGGGTCTCCGGGGCCGAATGCCAGGGCCTGAGCGCTGAGTGCAGGTGCTGGGAACCAAAACCGGGTCCTCCGGCGCCCACAGGCGGGAATTAACCTCTGTCCACGGTCTACAGCGGTGGAGTCTCTGTCCTGGCATGCCTGCCTCACCCCCACCCCCGCCGTACCTCCATTACCCCCACCTCCTTCCTGCTAATTCCGGACTATGCATCCCAAACCCCAAGGACTGTTCCTCCGTTCACCCTCACCTCCCTCCCCGCCGTGGGCTGTGCCTCTGTCCCCCCTCTCCCACACGGTGGGCTGCGCCTGTTTCCCCCTGTGGACTCTATGAGGAAGCATGACGGCAGAGAAGACCGTGGACCCCCAGCCGAGCTCCGAACCCGTCAACAATGGCCTCTCTGTCCTGGGTCACGGGACTGGTTTGTCTGCCACGGAAGGGGGTACTGGGGTTAATAAGCAGAGGCTCCGGGACAGAGCCCAGTGGTCACCGCGTCCTCCTGTCCCCGTCCTGTTTCCCCACTCGTGTACGGGGGGTGCACACGACCCGGGGCCCCATAGCGCTCAGCCTCCTCACTCCCCTATGATCCATAGGGTCTCAGGTGGCCCAGGTTGGCCTCCTGCCTCCACCTCCTGAGTGCTGGGGTGGCGTGGTACCGCTTCCGGTCTGGGGGGTCATTCAATTTTAGAAAATCATTGGGGCCCCGGGGGAGTTCAGTACATATGCTTTAGGCAAAGTCCGTGCCTCAGTTTCCCCGTCAGCACTGACAGATTTCCTCTGGTCTGTGAGGAAACTGAAGCCTCCCGGAGCTCGGGTTCTCACCTCCCTCTGAGGGGCCCACCCGCCGGCGGGACGCACATCTGGGGGCAAAGCAACAACATCTGCAGAGCGCAGCTGGTTCCGATGAGCTGTGGGGGCCGCGGCCTGGGGTGCCCTTTGGGGTTTGGTGGGTTGGGGGGCGCAGGCAAGAACTCAGGGCCGCTGGCAGCCCCAGGGACTGAGTGAGGCCTGATTTGTTCAAACTCCTGCACGTACCTTAAAGCCCCAATTTCAACACGTCCCCCTCCCCCACACACATTTTCGAGATTTCATCTTATTGTGGTCTGTGAGAGCACGCGCCGCAGAAGCGTGAGTGCATAGGTCAGAGGGCAACTGTGGAGTCAGTCTATAGGTTCAGGTGACCAAGCTAGTGGCAAGTGTCAGCGCAGGACACTGACCGCTCAGCGTCACACAGCAGATGGGTTTAAACGTGTGGGAGGGGGCCCTCGTTGACTGCGACTTCTGCTGGGTAGTGCGCCACCCCACCCCCGACACCACGCAGGCAGGGCCAGAGAGGTGGACTGTCACAACAGGACACACAGCGCCCTCCGCCCCCGTCCCCCAGGCCTGGCTGTGCGCATGCCCCGCGGATAACCGGATCAGGCTAATACGGGCTGAGACGCTGGTGCGGGGCGCAAAGATGACAGGAACCCCCCTCCCCCGTCCCACTCTGACCATCTGGCTTGGAAAGGAAACTGAGGCAAGCTCCGCGGCTACCTGCCCTCTCTCTTCTTCCCAAATCCAAAGTTCGGCCTCACGTCTTAGATGAAGGCATCGCCGAACCTCAGTTTCCCAAGACCGGAGCCGGCGCTCGGAGCTTTTTCCTCTTGAATTAGCCTCACTACTTTAAATGCACGTGTTTGCGCAAGGCGGGTGCAGGGGCGTCGATCCCTGGCACGGGGTCCCCAGGGAGCAGTCTGCCTTCATTGACTTATTTCTAACATTTTCTCTGTGTTTCTTCTCGTTTGAGTCAATGTAGCCCAGGCTGGACCTTGTGTGGCTAAGGCTTACCTTGAGCCCCTGATCCCCTGCCTCCAGTTCCTGAGTAGCGGTGAGGACAGGCTCACGGCGCCACACCTGCTCCCCATGCTTCCCCGGCCAACCTTCCAGAACATTTTCTCCTCATCCGTCACCGGCTCATCCTGATTGTCCCCACGCGAACCAAGCTTTCCCCAGCTGTAGTGCCCTCCTTCAGGAAGTCTTCCCTGAGCCTCCCACCTGGCCAGAGTGCCCGTGTCCGTGGAAGGCAGTGTTGCTGCTTCTAAGGACAGCCCACGGGGCTCATATCTGTCGGAGCATCTCTGAGTTTTGTTTTGGTGCCTAGCTTTGTTGGGTTTTATTTAATTCTGAGAACATGGTGGTGGCGTTTCAGACAGGATGCCCGGATGAAGGGATATCGGGCTTGGGGCGGTGCCCAACTGGGGGTGTTCCCAGCTGATGGTGTCTGGCTGTGGGGTGTGCCCGGCTGAGGTGAGTGTTCTGGCTGTAAGGTGTACCCGGCTGGGGGGGGGGTGCCTGGCTGTGAGATGTACCCGGCTTGGGGGGTGCCTGGCTGATGGTGTCTGGCTGTGGGGTGTGCTTGGTTGAGGGGGGTGCCTGGCTTAAGGATGCCCGACTGGGGAGTGCTGGGTTGAGGGGGGTGCCTGGCTGTGGGATGTCCGCATTTGAGAGGGGTACTTAGCTGTGGGGTGCTCAGCTAGAGTGTGTGTATTTGGCTGGTGGGAATATCTAGTTGGGGGGGTGCCCAACTGAGGGGTGCCTGGCTGCGGGGTGTGCCCTGCTGAGAGGTGCTCTGCTAGGGTGTGTGTATTTGGCTGAGGGGGAGCATTTGTTTTTCACTGCACTGCCACAGTCAGCCCTTTGTGGTTGCCTAGGGGTTTGGAGCCGGCTAGGGACTGGGACCCTCAGAAGTCCCCCGGATGAAAGAGCGGGAAGGGGTGTCCTGCCCGGGGCAAGGGGCTGGAGTGGGACGAGCTAGTCAGGCTGGAATCCACCCGCCACTGACATCCTGCCCGTCACGCCCCATGGGGCTTCCTCAGCCCGGGGCGCTGACACACAATGGGTGTCCCAGAACACCAGGGACGTGAGGCTCAGCGAAGGAGGCGGGACGGAAACCCAGGCGTCCAGTGCCCAGCACAGCCCCCACCCAACCACTGTGTCAGGCAAGTGGCAACCTCCCCACCAAGCCCCCCAAATCCGCATCTCTGCATCCAGCCTGGGCTTCACGATTTCTGCCTCTGGTCCCACCTGAAGTCTGCCCACTCTGCAGCAACCCTGGACCTGATGACTTCTCACCCATAAACCGAATTATCCGGGAGTAATCTGGAGCAAGAACTCGGAAAGTGGGGAACACATACATGGTTTCCAATCTGAGCTTTGCCCTTAAGGGACCCCCCTCCTCCAAAGAGCCCCACGCCCTCTTGTGGCTGAACAGCGACTCAGGAGCCCAGCAGCCCGGCCCTTACCGGGGAGGACACGGTGTCCCCGGGCACGCAGCGAACGCGCCCCTGACGTGTTTACTTCTGTGCGCCGCGGGGCTGCGCAGCGGCTGGGCCCCCTCCTGGGACTCACTGCGACCTCGATGTCACCTCTCCATCCTCCCTGACTGACGGAGCGCTCACGGGGGTCCGGGGGTCCAGCAGCTTAGCACAGGAACGGCGGACGCAGGAGCCGGGAACGCGCCCCGTCGGGTATGGAACCCCGCGGTAACCCGGGAGGGGGACTCCCCCCCACCGCACTGCGTCCCGGGACTCAGCTTACCTGTCGGGGTCTCCAGATGACCTGGTCAGTGGTGACTTCTCCGACCACCCGAGCCCGGCCCGGCCCCAGCCATCGCGTGCGCCATCCGGATCGCGGGGACCCAAGGCAACCCGGGGACCCCGTGCCGGAGGAGGCCACCGCGCAGGGTGCGGGACGCGGGCCGGGCCATGGGGTTTCCCCCCCTGTCCTCTCTCTCTCTGGCTTCCCCGGGCTCAGTGAACCCCGGGGAGGCACGCGTGGGAGGCTGGAGCGCGTTCGGGACGCGGGGCCACGCGGGGAGCGCGGGGCGCACGGACGGAGCCACCGCGCGCTCTCCCTCCGCTCCCGCCGCGCACCGCTCAGGCCGGCTGGGCTAGAGGGGGCGTGGCCTTCCCGGAGGCGTGGATGTGGGCGTGGCGTAAGGTTTCCCGGGCTTGGGAGCCGCCCTCGTCCTGCCCACAGCCGGAGGGGCGCGCCCGGAGAGCAGGTGGCAGGAACGCGGGAGGCCCTAGACGGCCACACCGATCGATCTATCGACTTCCCCGGGACTCTCCTTCATCCGAGACTTTGCGCCCCAAATCTAGTACACACTAACTTTGCGCACCCCTTCCCCATCTTCCCAAATCCCCCACCTAGACTCCCCACGAGGATGAACCCCTAGAGTATCGAATGCCCCCCAAATTGCTGTTCCCAGTGCTCTGTGGCCATCTACGTTGTAACCTAGAGTCCCTGGACGCCCGTCTGGTCAGCCAAAAGCCACTCTGCACCCACTCATGATCCTCCACGAGTCCTTCCCATCCCTCTGTCTGCCCCAAGGAGCCTTCCCAGGGAAACTGGGTTCAAGGTTTCTGCTCAGGCACCCTGGATTATGTAGTACTGCCCAAGAGTCCGTGGTCCTCAGTGAACCACACCCATCGTCGCTTCCCGTCATCCTGCGCCTCAGAATCCCGTGAGGACCCCATTTCTCACTGACGGTTTACCCAAAAACACCCCACCACCCCATCCCGGACCCCATCACTGAAGTCCACCACACCCTACTCCACCACCTACGACTCGCGAGCGCTTCCTAGTGGAGCCTGATCACTCAGGGGCAGGGCAGGCGGGGGCGGGGTGAAGGATGCTGTGACCACGCCCCTCCACACCCAGTTGCCGAGAAACCACTGCCCTGAGGTCCCGCTCTCGACGTCCAGAGCCGGCTCGCGAGGTCCCGCCCTCGACATCCAGAGCAGGCTCCTTCACAGCACCCTTGGCTGCCACCGCTTGATGTGGGTAGGTGGGCTGACTTAAAGTCAACTTATCCCAGAAGCCTTTTCATAACCAAGCCCCAAAACAATTCTACCTCTTGCCCAGGGCCTGTGCTGGGGATCCCCCATGCCGGTGGAGTGTGTGCGCATGTGCGTGTGGGGTACAGAGGGTAATGTGGGTTTGACTCCATGGGTCAGAACAGCAGACTTCTAAAGTCACCTGTGCTCTGAGACCTGAGGCAGCGACTCCTCCCTGTGTCTTTGGCTTCCAAGTGGTGAAGGGTATGCCGCAGGCTTCCCAGGGGTGAGAGTATGCCGCAGGAGCGGGGAGATGGGCAAGGGCCTGGTAAGGGGGAGATGGGGCGAAGGCCTGTCATGGGGGAGATAGGGTCAGGGCGTGGCACTGGGGAGATGGGGTGAGGGTGTGGCACAGGGAGATGGGGCGAGGGCATGGCAAAAGGGACATGGGCGAGGAACTGGCACCAGGGGAGATGGGGTGAGGGTGTGGCACAGGGGAAATGGGGCGAGGGTGTGGGTGGGGAGATAGGTGAAGACCTGGCACTGAGGAGATAGGGTGAGGGTATGGGTTGGGAAGATGGGAAAGGATGTTAGACACCGGTGAACAGCACACTAGCTGTACATGCACATGCATGTTTGGTGGCAGGGCACTCAGCTGTAGGTCCCGTAGACACTGCACGCACACACCCACACTAATTTTACACACGCTCCTGCTCCATGTGCGCGTGCGCGCGCACACACACACACACACACACACACACACACACACACACACACACGCTCTTCTTGGCCTGCACAGAGGATCTCCCCTGAGGCTCAGCTCATTTACAGACACCCCATTCCGGTACAGCCAGGTGCTGGTTGACACACACAGACTCACACGAACAATACAGCTGCTCCCTGTCTGTGTCCTCTGTCACATTCATCACTGGTGCAAAGGCCTACACTGACACACTAGCACAACATGCAACACATGCAAGAAAAGCTCCAGCAGACAAACACATGACACACATGGGGGGCTGGTATGGCAGACCAGGTCTCCCTTGCACACACAGCTGGCCGGAGCCCACCCCCACTGGGCCAGCCACCATGAAGCTGTCACCAGTCACCTTGTGGCCACCTCTGCTCCCCTGACCCAGCCATGACTGGGGGTGGAGCAGGCAGACACATGGGGAGCAGGACACACACATATGCCCACCATGTGGACGCTCATAAAATGGTTGCCCTGGCAACAGCAACTTGAAAGACCAGGCTCTTCCTCTGGGATAGATAGGGGTGCAGGGGTGGAGCTGACACCAGCAGGCGGGACAAGAGCAGAAGGTGGGGACACAGGACCCGCACCCACCTATGACCCCATTTCTGGGACACGTGGTTTGTTCCAAACACCCACGGGGATCTCATCAGAGACACAAAGTGGCTGCCACGCTCAGGGCTGGAAGCGGTCACACCAGAAACGCAGGTGCCATCTATCCCGACAGCCCCCCAAGACAGATGCCTTGTAGTGCACTGAGTCACGCTTCAGCTGGGAACCGGGGCGCACACGCATGCACACACGCACACACCTCTCTTTCCAGCATTCTCCACCCCCAGTGGAGGCCGATCCCCCACCGGGATCTTGTTGGGTGAGGGAGACGCTCCATGGAGACCGGCACTGTTGGTGCCACCCCCTTCAGAGAAGGGTCACAGCCACAGCCGTGTTCCTGTCCGGGAGGCTGAGCTCAGGGCTAGGCTGGGGGTGTTTACAGTGCTAAGTCCTCTTGTCCAGATGCAGGCCATGTAGGACCAGGGACCGGTGTCAACATCTGAATTTCCCATGCCAGGGAGACAACTGAGGTGAACTTGGTGTCCTACCAGAGCCTAGACATGGGGAAACTGAGATACAGCTGTATGCAGGTCCTTTGATCCATTTCAGTGAAGATATGGGGCCTGAATTGTGGCCCCCATCCCGTGTTTACCTGGACTTTGTTCCTCTTTGGTGTCCCACATCGCCAGGCAACACCCCTGCCACAAGGCCTGTTTGGTGACCAATTGGGTGGTTGTGAAACTTGGGGCTCAGAGAGATCATGCAGCAGGCCTGGTCACACAGCAAGAGGCTGTGGCTTGGGGACTTTGCAAAACGTCCCGTCCTGTCCACCCACCCATCTCCCCCTGCTCCGGAGTGGGCCTGACCTCCTGGAGGCCACCATTCCCAAGGGAAAGCACTCTGTTCTTGGGTGGAGACCCAGGCCAAGGCTTGGGCGGCTGGTGGCCTCTGGCCAAAACATGAACTTGGCTGGTGGGGAAGTTTCCATCTTAGCGTCAAGACTTGGTCCAGGTTCAACCAGCTGGGGGCTAGACCCTCGGGGGATCCCCGAGGGACTAGCCCAGCGGGGTTGGAAGTGCCTGGGAACTCAGTGTGTCCTCTCTTCCCCTAGGCCACCTCTATGTGACTGGGAACTTCACAAGCACCTTCCTGCAGAGTATGTGGAGTCAAGGTGAGAGATTGCTCGATCTGTTTCCTCATTTGTGAAATAGCTCCTAGGTGTGTTGTGGACCTAGTCTTGGATACCCCCTATCTGACAGGAGTGTCCTTGGGCTTTCCTTCTAGTATAGGCTTTCTTTTTGAGAAAGGCTCCCATACCGTAGCCCAGGCTAGCCTAAACTTAACTTCTGATCCTCCGGGTATGTTCGCAAGCCCGGATGGAACCAGAACTTCAGCTGTTCCAACGAGGGCTCTACCCACTGAGGGCCCAACCCCAGGCTGACCCTGACAAGGCTTTGCTGTGTACTGTGTGCATAGCCCAGGCTGGCCTGGCGTTCCCCCATCCTGTCCTGCCTCAGTTTGCAGCATTGGCTTCTGGGACTTTGGGGTGATTGTCATTTCACTGTGGGAGCCGCAACTGGGCCTCCGACTTCACCTGATACTCTGGTGGGGGTGGGGAGTCTCGGGCAAACCGAGGTCAGGCAGGGACCCTGGGGGCCCGTGGGCGGTAGGAAGGAACGGGACTGCAGATCCAGGCGGGGATGGTAAAAACAGGACCGGGCAGTTCCCCCGGGGGCCATCGACAGCCCAGGGTCAGAGGTCAAGGCCCGGTCCCCAAGGGTCCAGGGTCAGGAAGGTGGGAAACACATCAGGCGGGCCACCTGGGCAGCGAGCGACTCCCGCGGAGGGAGCGGGGAAAGGGGCGGGCTTACTCCCGGGCGGGCCGTTCTGCGCACGCGCACACTTGCACGGGCGCGAGCTCTCCCCCGCCGGCTTGGCCCTGGCTGCTTTAATCCCCCTGCTCCCGACCTGCAGCCCGGAGATAAGGACCCAGCTGCAGACTCAGATAAAAGAATCGCTGCCACACAAATCCGGGAGGCCAGCCGTGGGCACTCGGCCCGGGCTGCACCTGCTAGACCTGGGGGAGGGGCGGGGGGGGAAACCCAGGCAGGCACAGACCTGGAGAGAGATAGAAAAGGGAGCCAGATGCGGACAGGGGGACTGCCGTGAGTTTGGGGTTGCCGTGGGATAGAAAGTGAGCCTTTGTCACAAAAGACAAAAATAAGAGAATGCCAGAATCAGGAGTTCAAGGTCATTTTCAGCCACAGGTAAAGACTAGCATTGGCTATGTGAGACCTTACCTCAAAAAAAAAAAAAAAAAAAAAAAAGAAAAAGAAAAAAAATCTTTGAGGCTAAACAGGAATTGTAGGAGAGACAGGCAGAGAGGAAGGTGGAAGAACGCAGCAGCTGGGACCCGGAGTCTTCCCTTCGCCCACTTGGTGCCTCAGTCTCCCTCCTGACCCCCTTGTTTCCCGGTGTGAGCAGAGTTCAGGCCTGGGTACGGCTTGCCACAGCTCCGGGGGATTATCCGGATCCCACTGTTCAGGGAGCACGGACTCCCCAAAGGCGTCGCCGGGGTGCCCCTGGGTGTGAAAACTGC